CATGGATGGGAGCTGGCTGGGATGGGGCCCCAGAGATTTCTGAGTGATGTGGGAAAGGGGGGCTCCTCAGGGACCGAGTATAGATCAGAGAGACCAGAATGCAGGTTTCAGGATTCAACTCCTGAGCCAGCCAGGGCACCCTGAAAGCTCTGGATCCTTCCTCCAGGCAGAAGAGGAGGAAAGGGCCCTCAGGGTGCTGGGGGCACCTAAATCTCGGGTCTGCCCCAGGAAGAGATTCTGTCCTGGGCAGCCATTCAGGCACCAGGCCTCGACTGCTTGCTCTCTAGACTTGAGGCAGGAGAGTGGTGGTCTAGGCGGTTGCCAGTCCTGGGTGGAGGCTGCTCCCTGATGCGATATCCTTGCAGGAGGCTGAGGTAACCACCTTTTTTTCTAGTTCTTGACCTGGGGCTTCACTTTGGACCTGACTCCTAGGAAACGGGGTCAGGGGGTCATACAATGAGGGAAAGGAGGAGTAGGCTAGAGGCCAGACCTTGAGGGTGTGGTTGTGTGCCTGCTGTTGAGCCATAGCTGCCCCTCAGGTGACCAGAACTTTGAGGAAAGAGCGGGGGTTGGGCCAAGCCTCACTTGCCACACCCTCAGACATGACTGATGAAAAAGGGTTGTCTCCTGATGACTTGGACAGAAGGTAGAGGTGGAGGGGAAGTGGGTCACTTGGCCACTTAAATTCAGCAGGGTTTACCCAGAATTCACTCCTCCAGAGAAGGGCTGGGCCAGGGACTATGGGAACAAGGCTGCTTAGGTCAGGGAGGCAGATCATAAATAAGTGAAGTGTGACTATTTCATGCAGCAATAAGCGCTAAGAAAACAAAACAAGATGATGAAATGAGTAGCTGAGCAGTTCCTAATTTAGACTGAATGGTCAGTGTCTGTGAGGAGGTGACATTTGAGCTGACACATATATGACAAGGAGCCAGATACATGAAGATCTAGGGAGATTAGTGATCCAAGTAGAAGGATAACAGTTACAAAGCCCCTGGGTGAGAATAGGCTCAGCATGTTCCAGAAACAGGGAAATGCCCTGACCGTCTGTAGAGGACGGGGGACAGGGTGGCAGGAGATGAAGTTGGACAGCCAGGAGTGCAGGTCACCCAGGGGCCTTGAAGGCAGGCTAAGTGATTGAAACTTTGTTAGTGGAGAATGGGAAGAGAAGTCACTGGAGGGCCATAGGGCAAGTTAGGGTAATTAACGGCCATGGTTGATACTGATTTCAAGGATCCCACTAGAGCTTGGCATATCTGCTTGACATTTGCTGCAGGCCTTGATGATAGGTGCCCCAAAAAAGACAAGTATGAGTCTTTTTGTGTATCATTCTGGAGTTTGTGGCACTTTTTTTTTTTCCTTTTAAGATTTTATTTATTTATTCATGAGAGACACAGAGAGAGAGAGAGGCAGAGACACAGGCAGAAGGAGAAACAAGCTCCATGCAAGGAGCCCGATGCGGGACTTGATCCTGGGACTCTGGGATCACGCCCTGAGCTGAAGGCAGGTGCCCAACCATTGAACCACCCAGGCGTCCCTGGAGTTTGTAGCATCTTGTTCCTCATTACCCTTGCCCCCCCCATCCCTGCCCCAGGCCTAGCTAAGCCAGGATCTATTTCTGATTTGCTGAGATGGTAGGACTGAGCTGTGACTTTGCAGGTTTGGGAAAACTGTGAGATCATCCCCCATGAAAATCCCTATTGTTGGGTTTGATGTGGAAATTTGCCTGGTGCCTTTGTTTGGAGACAGGCCGTGGTTCAGGCCTGTCTTGCCCCTCTGAGAAAGTGGAGTTTGGAGGTCAGGGCTTTAGTCGTTCATGCCCAGAAGCACCTCTGTCACTGGTGTGATATGCTCATTTTTAAATTCTGACCTACTGTCTCTGGGGGGCTTGGCCCTTGAGTAGTCCGCTAAACCTGGTTCCATCTAGTTCCACCATCCACTAGGCTCATGGCCTTGAGTGAGTTAGCTAACCTTTCTGAGCTTCATTTTGCTTAAGTATATTGTGGGAGTTGACTCACGGGGTGTTAGGAGCAAATGCACATAAAGCTCTTAGCACATTTCTGTGTCTAATACGCATTAGTGAAAATGACATGTTATCAGCTGGACACTGCTATTTAAGTTTTGTCACTGGAAACAATGACCCAGAATTTGAGGATAAAAATGAAATTTTTCTGTTGTCTAATGGCATCTACTGGGCGAGAGGTTTTAACTTGGGGTCTATGACTGAACCTCAGAGAGTGTGAACAACTTGAAATTATTCACAAGGCTGGGGCATCTCTACCTCTGTGTAGATATATTGGGAGAAGGCTCGTCAGCAGCCCTCTTGGGAGAACTGTAGGAGACGCTATCATGAAGGTCAGTCCCCAATCTGATGTGAGGCTGCTTCTGAGCCTTGGCATTTTCCTTTTCAGATTGTTCTTTCTATAGTATATGTATTAGAAGCAAGGTCAGGGCTTGCTAGCCATCCTGGGGAACATCCTCCCAGGCTGGCCCAGACCCCTCCCTGTGTTGCATGGGGATAGGGGAGCACTTTGCTCCCCTCTTCTTTCTCTGGCTACAGGAATGCTGCCTCCCCGCCATGAGTTGAAAGCTTTGTAGGAGGTTTGGAGTCAGAAACTGTAAATCCTGTGGTTAGCTGAGCCATGCTCTGTGCTCTGTGCTCGGGGATTGGGGTGGAGTGGAGTGGGTATAGCAAGAAACAGGCTAGAACCCTCCTAGCCCAGAGCTACCGTGTTTAGGCAGAGGAGCTGGCCCTGGCTCTATTGATACAGTTTTGTATGTGGGGTTGGGGTCAACATTTGAGTTTGGGAAGGGGGACCCAAATAGATGGAGTCTGAACAGTGACTTGAGAGAAGATCAGGAACTGACCAGGCAGATGAGAGGGAGGACATCCCAGCAGGGCGATTCATGGGGTAGGAGTGGGGTGAAAACCAGTGAGCAAGCCCTCAGCAAGTTCTGGTCTGTTTGTATGTGGAGCTGGATGAAGGTAGGAGAGAGTGGTAGGGACACATGGACAGGTGTGGTTGGCCACCTGTGGAGCTTCAGGGTTTAATCCAGAAGTGAGGCCGTTGTAGAGAAGGGAAATGGCCAGCTTTGTCATTTAGAACTGAGGGACAAAGTTAGCAGAAAGAAAGCATTGGCTTTGATCAGGAGACCTAGTATCAGTCCTGGTGTACTTACTTGCCACTGGACTTGGGGCAAGACAAATCGCTGAACCTTAGTTTTCCCACCTGTGAAGTGGGATGACAGTGGGATCTGACCACATGGTTATTATGATGACTACGTGGCAGTAAACACATCAGAGTCAAGCAGGCCAACAAGGTTGGTATTGGCTTCAGGGACACTTCTTGGAAAAGACCTCAACCCAGATAGTTTTGAAGATTCCTACTTATAACTTTCTGGGAGCCCCTGAGCAATCTCATTCCTTAGGAAAGCTGACTTTGCCCTACCCTGCTCCACTAGACTAGAGTGCTCTTCTGTCCCTTTATCCCTCCACCCTCTTCACTCTACCGCCACTTCTGCCAAGTAGTTTTAATATTGGCAAGTTATCACACCTTAAGAACAATTTTGAAAAAGGAAAAAAAAAACACTCCCGCATTTCCTCTGTGTCACTGCCCTACCACATGGCACCACTTTTCTTGTTGTTGGTGTTTTTGTTTTTTTAAGATTTTATTTATTAATGAGAGACACAGAGAGAGGCAGAAACATAGGCAGAGGGAGGAGCAAGCTCCTGTGGGGAGCCTGATGACTCGATCCCAGGACCCTAGGACCATGACCTTAGCCAAAGGCAGATGCTCAACCACTGAGCCACACAGGCACCCCACTTTTCTTGTCTTTGAATCAGCTTTTATTTAGCCTTTTTTCCTGTCACCCTCCATCTTCAGCTTCCTGGTTTCCTGCCCTTATCTCTTTTCATGGACCCAAACACTGGCTTGTTTTTTCTAATCGGCATACTCTTTTTCTAAGACCTTCCCTGAGGGCTGCCCAACCTTGCTGAGGACAGAGGGAGAGATGGCCCTCGTCCATTCCTCCAGCTTTCCCCTTGCCCCGGAGCTCATGGGGGCTGAGCAAGACATCTTGGGGTAAGATACTGTAGGGCTGGGCCACAGTGAGTGAGCCAAACAGAGTGAATACTAGGGTGGAAGAGGCAGAGATGGGGAATGGCTATAGCTACAGTCTGACCCCTTGGAAATGTGACCAAGACAGCAGCTGAGCCTAGCTGTTGATTCTATGCTTTTCCCACTCGTTGATTTGTTTCTTGGCAGAGTATAAACTGGGATACACCTTGTGTTCCTGTGTAGCAGGTGTGACCGGGTCCAGGCTTTCTCTTCTGCTTGTTTTAGACTTTTCCTGGACATTTCTTAGTCATCCCAGTACTGAGCTCCTATTTTTAGTGCCACCACCTCCTATGGGACCTAAAATAAAGCTGGCTCATCTTCCTGGCCCTTCATTGGCTGGAGTATAGGTCATAGGCTAGGAGATTGGCTGGATTGGGGATAAGCCACTGCCCCCCTACACTATCCATCCCAGCTGGCTCCTCTGGCCTTGGGTGAGGTCATAGGGACTGGAGTGAACTAGCAGGTTCCCTTCGTGAGGCTTTACAACCACTGGCAACATCAGGGTTCCACCCCTTTGCAGAGGAGGAAGCTGAGGCCCTTCTTAGGGCAGTGACTTGCATCAGATTCCACCACTGTTAATGGTTGTCTACCAGGGTTGAACCCAGCTCCTCACCGCTTTGGTTCAGAGTCCTGTTATCAGGAGATGGGGAGGTAGTCAGACCCAACTACAGAACCATATACGATATTCTGCTGTCATGGAATCCTTCAGTGAGATGTGGGCTTCCTAGGGGGAGGGAGGGTGGTTAACAAAGCCAGAGTGGCTCTCATCTGGGGCTTGAGTTTGCCCCAGTTTACACCCTTTGAGCTGTGATGTTTCTAGCTGGTAGGGGGTCTCCTTTCCCCCCTCAGAGACCAGAGAGGGGCAGCCCCTTCCAATAGAGGCAGTGCTGGGATGAGGGGTGTGAAGAGATGACATATTTCCTCCTCATAGCCTCCGTTTGTCTTCCCTGTATCCCTCAGTATTACTCTCTGATATTTGGAACTCCTGTCCTCAGCTCTGAAGTGAGTAGGAATGAAGAAATGAAGAGATGTTACCTGTGCTCAAAGAAGTAAACTGCTCCCTTAAGACTAAAATGGAAGGTCAAAAAAGGACTAAAATAAAGAGTCACTTACTCCTTTATTTCCAGTGAGGCATTGAGGAGCCATCTCCCACTCTCTCGCTGGGTCTTCTTCCACCTGCCAGTACAGCCCTGGGACAGTATTGATGGGGCTGAGGACTGCAATAGAAGATACTTCACATACAGATATCTGTAGTTTCTGACCTCTAAAGTGGGAAGAATAGTAGTAACTCTGGCCTTGCAGGTTGTTGAGAGGATCAAATGAAAAGATGTGGGAGAGTGGTGTGAGTTCCTCCTTAAAGGCCACACCCTGCCATTGGGCATTGAAGGACTTGCTATGATTTTCCTTTGTCTTGGCTCCACCCTCAGCTCCCATCCTGTGTGCTTCACATCTCTGGCACCCCTTCATTTCATCATTCAGAGCTCCTCAAAGGAGGAGCTCAGTCTGGTCCACCTCTGGGCTCCCTGCACTGGTCTGTATTGGAAGGGGCCTCCTACCAGTTAACCTGGGCCTCTGTATGTTCCCTGGGAGAACACACTTCAGCCAAGGACTCTCTCTGCTCCAGGAGGCCAAGAAGGGTGGGGTTGGTTGGAAGAAACAGCAACTGGCCGCCACCTGCTCCTTTGGTACCAACACTTCCCTCTCTGTTTTGCTGATCTTGCAGGTCTCAACAAGGCCGGGTGACGCTCCAGAATGGGAGACAAGCCAATTTGGGAGCAGATTGGATCCAGCTTCATTCAGCATTACTACCAGTTATTTGATAACGACAGAACCCAACTAGGCGCAATTTATGTAAGTCTTCATCTCTAGGGCTTGAATGGGACCCTAGGGGATCAATTCAGATAATTGGGCTAGGGTGTCAGTTCACAAATTCTAGCAGCCCTTACTGGATTTGACTATATCCTTATGTGTGTGTGTGTGTGTGTGTGTGTGTGTGTGTGTGTGTGTGTATATATGTATATATATATATTATATGATTTTTTTTATTTATTCATGAGAGACACAGAGAGGGAGGTAGAGATATAGGCAGAGGGAGATGCAGGCTCCCTGCGAGGAACCTGATGGGGGACTCAATCCCAGGACCCTGGGATCACAACCTGAGTCCAAGGCAGACACTCAACTGCTGAGCCACACTGGTGCCCCTTGACTATATCCTTCTATCTGAGTTTCTGTCCATGGGACAGGTTACCTGAGGCCTAGCCCAACTACCTGGTCTACATGTTCCCTTCTGTCATCTTCTGTAAGAGTAGGGATCCTGGTGTCCTTGGCAGGGTGTTCTAGGCTTGCCATTCCATTGTCCTGGGAGTGCCTCTGATTCCAGAGTGGGCCAGAGCAGGCAGATGCTGGGGCTTGTGGTGCTCTGTGGAGGCAGCAGCTGTGAGCATCATCAGTACAAAGCTGAGCACTCCTTGGAGACCCTAGGCCCAGCTTCCTTTTGGGGAGCAAAAGTCCCTGGATGCTCATGGTAAACAAATGGGGTTAGCCCAGGGGGGCTGGTATGTCTTGTTGTTGTTGTTGTTGTTGTTTTAAGATTTTATTTATTATTTGAGAGAGTGCATGCATGCATGAATGGTGGGGGGCAGAGGAAGAGAGAGAAGCAGACCCCCCTACGGTCCAGGACCCCTGAGATCATGACCTGAGCTGAAGGCAGACACTTAGCCAACTGAGCCACCCAGGTACCCCAGGAAGGCTGGTGTGTCTTTTAAGAAATCCTTTTAGGCAGGCATTATTTGGTGCTATTTTACTGATGTTCATATACATCAGGAATTATTTGTGTCTGACCCTGCCCAAGATTCAGTCACAGAAATGTGATCAATTGGGACATGCCTACCAGGTCTGCCCAGAATGGAAGTGATAGGAGCCATCCAACATAGCCTCAGAGCCTGACTGTGGGCAAAGCCCTGTGTGTCTCTCCAAAAAGTCAGGGTCAAGTCTGAAGAAAAGAAAGGGATCTTACCAGTGGAAAACTAAATTCAGCACAGGCATTATTTGGTTGTCATCATAGAGAATTTTAAAAACTTCAACTGATCCGACTCTAGGATCTTTTTTTTTTTAAAGATTTTATTTATTTATTCATGAGAGACACAGAGAGAGAGAAGCAGAGACACAGGCAGAGGGAGAAGCAGGCTCCATGCAGGGAGCCCGACACGGGACTCAATCCCAGGACCCCAGGATCATGCCCCGGGCCGAAGGCAGGCACTCAACTGCTGAGCCACCCAGGGATCCTGACTCCAGGATCTTGATACATCTGTCTCATTGCTTCTTTTTTTTTTTTTTTTTTAATTTTTATTTATTTATGATAGTCACACACAGAGAGAGAGAGAGGCAGAGACACAGGCAGAGGGAGAAGCAGGCTCCATGCACCGGGAGCCCGACGTGGGATTCGATCCCGGGTCTCCAGGATCGCGCCCTGGGCCAAAGGCAGGCGCTAAACCGCTGCGCCACCCAGGGATCCCTGTCTCATTGCTTCTTAAAATCAATTAAAGCAGTCCTGACCTAGAGAAGGGAGTTATTAGCAAGGTCCTAAAAGTGTGCTTTATGTCATTTCATATAATCCTCAGCACATGTCCCCTGCCCCCCACTCCCTTTTTAAAGATTTATTTATTTATTTGAGAGGCAGAGCTGGGGGAGAGGGAGACAGAGAATCCCAAGCAGACTCCATGCTGAGCTCCGAGCCTGATGGGGGGCTCAATACCACAACCCCATGACTGTAACCTGAGCCGAAATCAAGAGTTGGATGCCCATCGGAATGAGCTACTCAGGCACCTTACATATCCCTTTTTAAAGATCAAGAAGTGGGTGCCTGGATGGCTCAGTCTGCCTTCTGGTTGGGTCATGATCTTGTGGTTTGGGAATTGAGCCCTGCATCAGGCTCCCTGCTCAGCGAGAGACCTGCTTCTCCATCTCCCTCTGTCCCTCCCCCTGCTCGTGCTTGAACTCTATCTCTTTCTCAAATAAATAAATAAAATCTTTAAAAATAATACAAGTAAGGGCAGCTTGGGTGGCTCAGCGGTTTAGCGCCACCTTCAGCCCAAGGTGTGATCCTTGAAACCTGGGATCGAGTCCCATGTTGTGCTCCCTGTGTAGAGCCTGCTTCTCCCGCTGCCTGTGTCTCTGCCTCTCTCTGTGTGTCTCTCATGAATAAATAAATAAAATCTTTAAAAGAAAAAAATAATATAAGTAAATAAATAAATAATTATCAGGAAACAGACTCAGAAAAATAAGTAACTTGCCAAATGTTAAGCTGGTAAGTAGCAGAAGCACATTGAGTTCTACCCCTCTTGTATTTTGGGGAAGACAGGGTATAATTAAAGAGGATGTTAATAGTGCAGAGTATGAAAGCTACTTTGAGATCCCTTCTTTACAGGTAAGGAAACTAAAGTTTGAACTCATTTTTCTGAAACAAGGCCCTGCCCCCGTGTTTTCTGGTTTTCAGATTGATGCATCATGCCTTACGTGGGAAGGACAGCAGTTCCAGGGGAAAGCTGCCATTGTGGAGAAGTTGTCTGTAAGTAAGGGCCAGGGCCATGTTTAAGTAGCTTCTTCCCTGCCCTACTGGCCACAGCATACTACCCATTCTTTTTTTTGCAGAGCCTTCCGTTCCAGAAAATCCAGCACAGCATCACAGCACAGGACCATCAGCCCACACCAGATAGCTGCATCATCAGCATGGTAGTGGGCCAGCTCAAGGTAATAGTACTGCTGCCTCTTAATAGTGGTGGTAGGTGCTTCTCCCTCTGCCTGTGTCTCTGCGTCTCTCTCTCCCTCTGAATAAATAAATAAATAAATCTTTTTAAAAAATGGTAAAGATGGAAAATTAAAAAAAAAAATAGTGGTGGTAGGGAGGAGTGGGCAGGCAGAGGAGAGCCCTGCACCCCTGCCTTTTCTGTGATATGACCTGCTTATCAAAGCATCTAGAGCTGTGCAATTCAATATAATAACCGCTAGTCATATTTTTTAAATGTTTTAATTTTAATGGTGATTTAATAACAATGAAATAAAGTTAAAATGGAGTTTCTCAGTTGAACTAGCCTTGTTTCAAGTCCTCATAGTCTGTCCTTGTGGCTGCCTATTGGACAGTGCAGACATAGAATTTTTTTTTAAGATTTATTTATTTGAGAGCATGAGCATGTGCAGGTGGGGGGATGGACAGAGGAAGAGAGAGAATCTTGAGCATACTCCCCACTGAGCACAGAGCCTGACACAGGGCTCTATCTCACAACCCTGAGATCATGACCTGAGCAGAAGTCACGAGTTGGACACTTAACCAACTAAGCCACCCAGGTACCCCCAGACATAGACTATTTCTGTTATTACAGAAAGTACTATTGCAAAGTACTGGTCTAGAGCCTTTTTGGAAAAGGGACAAGAGATAAAGGAGCAGGCTGGAGCTGTGGTGCCAAGCTACTGGGCCTTTGTATTGCCCTGAGGTGTAGGTGGACTTTTTGCAGGCAGCTGGCCCTGGATTGGCCAGCTGGGTACTGAGTCGCAGTCACCTGTGGGAGTCCATGCTGCCACTCCCTGAGCTGGCTGCTGGCTCCTCCACCTGCTAAGCAAAGCAGATTCCTGGAACTTCTGCTTCTCTTTGCATTTTCCTTTCTTCTTCTCAAGAGATGTCCTCTTCAAAGCCTTCAGTTCAGTTCCTCAAGAACTCTCCCAGGAACTCCCACCTGTTGTGCTCCAGCAGACTGAAGCCAGATTCTTAGTTTCCAAATAAGTCTCCCCGCATTCCCAAACTGGGACAAATTGGTTGCCCTTTGACAAGGTCCTCATCTCCTGGGCCCGTGTCATGGTGGGGCTCTGAAGGCTCCCTAGGCTAGGTGAGGTCTCCTGAGTCAAGTACAAGGGCAGAAAGAGGGGGGCCCTTAGGTCTCTGCCATGGACCCAGAGGACCTGCCTTCTGGCCTGGACTTGTCAGTTTTTCCTGCCTGTCCAACATGCCCTGCCCAGAGTTTGTACTCAGGCTCTTGAGAGTGAAGAGGTCTCTTCCAGGGGACTCAATACCCACTTTCAGGCTAGCGTCAGTCATCATTGCCCATTCGTACCTGGCTTCAGGCTCATTCTGGTGTTTCTGTCCAACTCAGAATCCCCAAAAGATTGATTTGCCTTCTTGCTTATGATGCCCAGAAAACCCAGCCATGTTAGAGACAGTGCTGGTTAACTGGGCTCCTCCCATAACTAGGCTTCATCCTGGTCTTTTGCAGTTTGGCTGAGGATGTCTTGCCTTTTATTCTCATTGCAAATGTTATATATGACATGACAGGAAACACCAAGTAGTGGTATTGCTTTGTTTTTGTTCTGTAGAGCTGTGATCACAGTGTGAACTCCGTTTTGAGCCTTTTCTCACCTTTCTGGTCACAATCAGTATTAGCAGTAGTTTCTCCTAATTGGGTAACTGGCATAATCAGACACTAAGATTGTTTCGTTTTTAGATACTGTTAAGTTATGTGGTGAGCAGTGCAGAAGTCTTTTAAATTGATCACTGTGCCTAGAGACATGGGCTCAGAGCAGGTGTGTTCTCTGCTCTGTTGCAGTAGCTAACTGGTGACATATTCTGTAGCTTAAGTGTATGCAGCAGTGCGAGCTCCATCCATAGCCCCTCTGTGTCCAGTACATTGTATCAGTTCACATTCACAAGTATCCCTTGGCCATACTGGAATTGGAGTCCAAGACAGTAGAGTCTGATCCCCAAGTCAGCATTGTTTGTCCATTCCCCCTGTCACTGGACTACCTTCCTATTCCTTGGCCCACTAACTGAATCATTTTCTTTCTCTTCACAGGCTGATGAAGACCCCATCATGGGGTTCCACCAGATGTTCCTATTAAAGAACATCAATGATGCTTGGGTTTGCACCAATGACATGTTCAGGCTTGCCCTGCACAACTTCGGCTGACCTCTTCCCAGCCAGGCACTCATGCTGTTTCCTCCTCCCTCCTCTTCCTGATAACTATTCACACTCCTCCAGATGCTCCAAATATCATACACAAATGAGCAGGGCCATGGTGGGAGCAGGCGCAGTGCGCTGCTACTACCGAGGTATTGTGCATGATGTTTGGATGCTAGAATAGTTGCATCTGACAGGAGAAGTTTGTGTTGTACCAGCGCATGCCTTGGAAAGACTTAAGTAATGCAAAAGGTTGTCTTTTTTTTTTTTTTTTTTAATCTACTGACAAGTTGCTCTAGTAACCCAAAGAAGTGAAGGAGAAAGCAGCTGCCTCACCACCCAGATATTGACCGCCCAGATATTGATTTGTTCGGATGTTTCAATGGCTCATGATATAATAAAACCACAAAAATTTTCTTAACAGTTTAAATTGTTTTAATTAGTTTAATAGTTGGCTGGGCATCAGTAACCACCCTGCCCCATTGGCTCTCTCATGTCCCACCTTCCCACCTCTTCCCCAACTGAGCAATACCTGTTGCAAAGAGAAAACTGCTGAAGCAGCACTCCCAGCTAGCTCCTCCCAGAAGCCCTAGGGCATAGTATTCCCCACCTCAGCCCCCTGGTCTTGGAAAACCGAGCTGCAGACAGAGCTCAAGGCCAAGCCTGAGGCTTCCCTTGCACTCTCTAGTCAGTTCTGATGACTCCTATGTGGGGTAGGATCAGGGCTCTGGTAATAGAGATGATCTAGAATCCCATTGAAAGGGACTCATCAGGTTCAGGTGCTCCAGACTGAGGGCTCAGCAAAGCTACCCTGTATAAAATGAGCAAAAGTTTGAGGGAGAGGGTCCTGTTCTACCCCAGAACAGTCAGGATCACATCCAGGGTATCCCATAAACCCCAAGCCAAGCAGAGGGCAGCTCAGGTTTTGTACTACCTGCTTTGGATATCTTTGCCCACAGAGCCAGGCCCAGTTTAGAGCTACTCAAAGTAGGCAATCTGAGTTTGAGGGATTTGTGCTCTGGGATTTCTCACCCCTCAGACCTCTGCAAGGCATCTCTAGGCCTCCTGCTTCCTCCCTCACCACACACACACTTTCACATTGTCTTCAAGTTCCAGGAAATCTTAACTCTTGGGGCAGTTAATGCTTTTCATTTTGGGGGACAGGCCTTCTGCTCACTGCAGAACTTGCCCTTTAGCCCTGAGACCTCTAGTGGTATAAATAAGCCTGGTGTCAAGGAAGCAACCAGAAGCTAGAACCAAACCCAGGTGTCAGGCTGGTGCCCTGTTAGGGGTTTCAGGATTGAGGAGAGTACCACAATTAAGCCTGACCTGCACTCCCCCTTCCCTCCTGCACTACAGATGGAGGCCAAGGACTTCCTCAGACCCCCCCACAGGTTGCCTGGCTACACTGAGCACAGGCCTGGATGATGGATTGTTTTTAGGAGACCACAGATTCGGCTTTCAGGGGGACTGATCTAGGAGGCTGGGGGGAGGGAGTGGGGGTTGGGAGAGAGGTGGATGCCTGATGCCTCTTAAACCACCCTGTGTAAAATCTGCAATACAGCTTCTTCCATGTACCTGTGCCTGAAATTTCTGCAATAAAGAGGTGTTTGTAAACTCTGGTTTCTTTATTCCTGCCTGAGGGTGTCAAGCCTGGGTGGGTAGAGGATGCTGGGGGACATTAACAATGTGACGTTCTGGTCTGACAAGCTCCCCTAGCAATTCCTGAGCTTACGATTCCCAAGAGGCCTGGGTTGCCCTACCGTATTTCCCCAAGGGGAAACTAGGCTCCTACCAATTTAGCTTTTTCCTTGGGAGGGTCTTAGGGAGTTGATCCAGTTCCAGGCCTATCAGGATTCCGTGTTCTGGGAATGAACAGAGGCTGGACAGGATGTCCTGAGCCGAATAGGGTTTTCGGCCGTCCTATACGCGCCCAGTTGCCCTGAGGAACGCCCACTGACCTAGGGGTCCCTGAGGGGCGAAGCTTCCGCCCCCAGCCCGGAACCTTTCTTCTCCGTACTGCGCAGGTTCCGGGAGCCGGAGCTCCGGCTGGCCGGAAGTGGAGGCGGTTGGTGGGGCTGGTGGGGTACAGGGACGCGGCGCGGGCGGCGGTTTGCGGGCAGCGGGCGGGCCGGATCTAGCGACCCGTGTCCTGCCGTCTGGTCCCGGCAGGGCTGTGCGCGGCTGCACTGTGCGCGGCGGCGGCCAAACGAACGCGGCGCGAGAGAGGCGCCCGCGGCTGGGCCCATGGCCTCCTGCGCGAGCATCGACATCGAGGACGCCACGCAGCACCTGCGGGACATCCTCAAGCTGGACCGGCCCGCGGGGGGTGAGCCCGGACAGCGGGGGTGGGCCTTCGGCGAGCGGGCCTTAGGGCGGCGCGGGCCTGGGCCGTCCTCAGTGTCCGCAGGTCCCTCAGGACCCGTGCCGCATCTTCCCGGCTGGTGAGGCAAGACGAGGGTTGGAGCCGTAAATTCCTGAGCGTGCCCCGCAAGGGTGCAGATCCCTTCCTATCCCGGGGCCGGGCCGTTCTGCCTCGCCCTTCAGCGTCTCTGCTGAAGGTGAGGTTCCTTCTCTGAATCCGCAGGGCCCCCTTCGTGTCCTGGCCCCAAGGTAGAAGCGTTCCTAGGGCTCGCTCAGGTTCCATCCGTATCATGGTGCCATGTAGTTCAGAGGCCTGATCAGGGCTCTGTATGGTAGTTTTGGGTCTAGACCTAAGCATTTTGCTGAGGAACCACTGGTCACCCTCTGCAACTTGCCCTTCACTCTGGAATAGACTCCAGGCCTGCTGTTCTAAAACTGATTCTCAGGAGACAGGTGACCAGCCCCAGGATGTGTCCTTTCTGAGATTAAAGCAAATCACAGACTGCATGGCCCTGATTGGATTAGGCTACAAACATCTGCAAGCCCTAGTTTATTTCCATTCATTTAAACTTGACTTGCAGTGATAACCTCAGAGTTGCTCCTACCCTTGAAGAGCTCCCAGAACATAGAGAACTAATGGTGTTGTCATTGGGGGGGGGGGGGTATTTTGGTACTGTGATGAAGACAGGGTATGTGAGGTTAGGGCTGGATAGTGCCTGAGAACAGATCTGAGAAGACAATGTTTCGGCTAGGTGTTAATAGTATGATATGACCAGGTGATTCAGTGTCAGGAATGGCATTCTACAAAGAAGAAATAGCATGTATGAAAGCCCTGCCAAAGTTTCCTGGTAGGTTTAGGGACCTGTGAAAAGCAGTGGTTGAAAGACTGGCTGGTGATGGTGGTGTGGGGGGTGCGGGGGCCACAGCTGAGAATTGGTGTTTCTTCAGACTCTGTTCTTAAACTTGCTGGGAGGCCCAAACTGGCTGCTTTTAGAAGCAGGCATTGGTGCTCACACTGGGTGGGTTTAGCTACCCCTGGTCCCCTTAGGAAAATCCATCTGCTGCGTGAAACCACTAAGTACTTTGCCCCAAACCTGGAGTGTGTGCTCGGTTTACTCGTGAGCTTGGTTGGCTTGGACCTCTCATGGTCATCAGCACTGGGCAGACTAGACCGCACAAAGATTTGGTAGAGGCTGGCATGGCCAATATTTTGCAGCTTGTTTCTTTGTCCTTATGGTAGCCTACCTTGGAAGGAGAGTGGCCAGCTTACTCCTGAGCAGCTAAAGTGGCTCTGATCCAAGTGAAGTGGCTTGGAGGCTTTCCACTTAATATCTTACGTATTGATTGGTATTTAATTGCCCCATTTGCCAATTAGCTCTTGCTTGTCTCCTCTGGAGGCACTGGAGGACCATGTTAGATGCCAGTGTGGGGGCCTAGTCTCCTTGTCATCTGGGAGTTTTTAGGGTGGTATCTGAGCCTATAAGGGTGCTTGAAATAGCCAGTGGCAAACAACTGAAATCCTGTCTTTCCTGACTACACACCCTATCCTAGAGTTGCTCTCCACTTTGTCCAACCCCTTTGTGTCTATTCCTTCTGAGTTTACTTGCCCAAGGTGGCTTCTTAACCATTTCTTTGAGGGGCAGGTTTCTTTCTTTCTTATTCCCACATCTTATCAGTGTTCTTTCATGCCTTAGAAGCCCATCTTCCTTTCTATATCATCTACCACTATCTTGGTCTAGGTTCTTAAATTATATCCTACATGCTGCTTTAGAGCAGTCATTCTTTTGGCCATAGCAGACCATGTCACCTTCCCATTTAAAACTCTGTGTGGGGATCCCTGGGTGGCGCAGCGGTTTGGCGCCTGCCTTTGGCCCGGGGTGCGATCCTGGAGACCTGGGATCGAATCCCATGTCAGGCTCCCTGCATGGAGCCTGCTTCTCCCTCTGCCTGTGTCTCTGCCTCTCTGTCTCTCTCTGTGTGACTATCATGAATAAATAAATAAAATATTTTTTAAAAAATAAAATAAAATAAAACTCTGTGTGGCTCTCTGTGCTACAGGGAAAATTTAAGCACCTAAGCTTCATATCTGAGACCTCTATGGCTTGTCTTCCCTCCATCTTTCCTATACTTGTGTGTGCCAGCCATACTGGCTCTGATGTACCTCCTTTATGAAGTCTGTCCTGACCCTTTGCATGCCTTCTCGAGTAGAGTCCCTTTGTACTGACCCAGGCCTAAATATTAATTGGCTGCATGGGATTCTTGATGGCTTTACTCCTCCCTCAGGCAGAAGAGCCACATGCATGTCTTTGGTCCTGGCAGGCATTGGGATAACTATCAGTATTGATGGAACAAAAGATGAACCAAGAGTCCTCCTCCCCTCAGACATGGCTCCCTCAATTGAATGTTCCCAGAGCACCTCATGGCTTTTGAATGAAGTTCGGCAAGAGGAAAGGCCAGTGGGCAGGTGGAACAGCCTCATCAGAGTAGACCTTTCTATCCCCAGGTCCCAGTGCAGAGAGCCAGCGGCCATCTAATGCCTACAATGGGGATCTCAATGGGCTTCTTGTCCCAGACCCCCTCTGCTCAGGTGATGGTACTTCAACAAACAAGCCTGGTCTCCGGGCCATGCCACCTATTAACCTTCAGGAAAAGCAGGTCATGTGAGTGTCTGGGAAATGGCAATGATGGTATTGGGGTCTTTGGGGTGGTGCACTTAATCACATTATATTTGTGTTAGGATGAGGCTCAAGGACAAGCTCAAGAGCTTGGCCTGGATCCAAAGTTTGGGCTTCCATTTTAGAGTGGAAATAGGCCCATTACCAAGGAGGAAGGTGAGGAAAGGGAGCTGTGGGTGTGGGGACCAGTGGACCAGGCAGAGCTGAGCATCTGGGACTTGACATCTTCACCAGAGTAGTTGTGTTCTCTTCCCCCCTCAACCCTGCCTATTGAGACTTTTCGGGGAATAGGAGTCAAGCTTGTGCACCCCTCCCCCAGCTGCCTCACAGGAGATGACAGCTCTACATGCATCGGGATTTTAGCCAAGGAGGTGGAGATTGTGGCCAGCAGTGACTCTAGCATCTCAAGCAAAGCACGGGGCAGCAACAAGGTGGGCACCACGATGTTGGGGCATATATGGTAGATGTGGGCACATTCAGCCTCTCCCTCCCCTATTCCATGCTGCCAGTTACTATGAGGACCACCTTGACAGGTAGTGTGCCTCAGTCTCAGGAAGCCAGGGTTAGCTGCCAAATCTCTATGGGAATCTGGCCCCAAGAGTTGTGAATGGGTAACTGGGCTTACACATGTGGCCTTTCCTGTCCCCAGAGATACTGAGGACCAACTGGGCTTGGGCAAAGTTTCCCTAGCCCTCAGCTTCTACAACCTTCTTTACTCTTTTTTCTCAGGTGAAAATCCAGCCTGTGGCCAAGTATGACTGGGAGCAGAAATACTACTATGGCAACCTGATTGCTGTGTCCAACTCCTTTTTGGCCTATGCCATTCGGGGTGAGTAGGGGCAAGAGAGAGGGAGGTTTTCTGCTAGAAACTCCAGAGATGCAGATCCAGTGTTGGGCTACTCAGCCCACTCAGCCTGTAGGGTACAATAGAAGGCTTGTCTCTGCTGCCCCCATCTCTAACAGGCCTTGGGGAGCTGTGTGGGAAAGCTGAGCTTGCGAATGGTAGTGGCAACGAGGCAGGCAAGGGCAAGGCTTCTTTGTTGGTGCCTGGGCCTGGATGCTTCCTCATGGTATACCGCTCTTCTGATTTCAGCTGCCAACAATGGCTCGGCGATGGTGCGGGTGATCAGTGTCAGCACTTCAGAGCGGACCCTGCTCAAGGGCTTCACAGGCAGTGTGGCTGATCTGGCCTTTGCACACCTCAATTCCTCACAGCTGGCCTGCCTGGATGAGGCAGGCAACCTGTTTGTGTGGCGCTTGGCTCTGGTTAATGGCAAAATTCAGTATCCTTTCCCTGGGGTGGGATGGGGGACTGAAGAAAGGTGGGTGGGGCTACCAGACAAACCTCATCATCCACCTGTTTAGCCCTTAACACCGCGCTCAGAGAAGAGATCTTGGTCCATATCCAGCAGCCAGAGGGCACGCCACTGAACCACTTCCGCAGGATCATCTGGTGCCCCTTCATCCCTGAGGAGAATGAGGACTGCTGTGAGGAGGGCAGCCCAACAGTGGCCTTGTTGCATGAGGATCGGGTGAGGGAACCGGTATAGGAGGAGAAAAGGGGACAGAGCAGCCATGCGGTGGGCATGGACTGAACACTCACTTTGTACCCTCCAGGCTGAGGTGTGGGATCTGGACATGCTCCGCTCCAACCACAGCACTTGGCCTGTGCGTGTCAGCCAAATCAAGCAAGGCTTCATCGTGGTGAAAGGCCACAGCACCGTAAGCCTGCCTCCCTGCCTTCCCTTCTTTGTTTGTGTCCCTCCTCTCTTCTCTGCAGCTTTACTGGCACTCTGCCCAAGTGACCCTTACCTGCGGAGTGCACACCTAATATGGCTGGACCCTGGGGGTCTGGTCTTCTGTACAGCCCCCCGACTTAGTGAGTCTTTGATACAGACGTCCACATCTACTGTGGCCCAGCTCAGCTTGCTACCATCCTCACCTGAGGAGGGCTTGTTCCCACCACTAGTCAGGTGGCAAAGCAAGGCTCTTTGGGTTTTTCCAGTGCCTAAGTGAAGGGGCCCTCTCACCTGATGGTACTGTGCTGGCTACTGCAAGCCATGATGGCTTTGTCAAGTTTTGGCAGATCTACATTGAGGGGCAGGATGAGCCAAGGTAAGGCAGGGCCTGAGGGACTGAGACACCCCCTCCCGTAAGACAAGGACCAGATCATTCACCCAGGCACCTCATCTGCCTCCTTGCAGGTGTCTGCACGAATGGAAGCCTCATGATGGGCGGTCCCTTTCCTGCCTCCTGTTCTGTGATAACCACAAGAAACAGGATCCTGAGTGAGTGAGTGGGCAGGCAGGTGGGTGGTGGGCTGGACCTTGGTTCTCTAGTAGGGGGCCCAGCCAGCTATTCAGTGCCTCTCTGCAGAGTCCCTTTCTGGAGGTTCCTTATTACTGGCGCTGACCAGAATCGGGAACTGAAGATGTGGTGCACAGTGTCCTGGACCTGCCTGCAGACCATTCGGTAGGTAGAGGCTGCGCAGGAGCAGCCGGCTTATAGCTGTGGGGTCTTTCCACCCTTTGTCTCATTAATCCTGCCTCCCCGGCCCCACAGGTTCTCCCCAGATATCTTCAGCTCAGTGAGTGTGCCCCCCAGCCTCAAGGTTTGCCTGGACCTCTCGGCAGAATACCTTATTCTCAGTGATGTGCAACGGAAGGTAGGCTCTAGTGGGGCACCCCAGGCAGAGCTGGTATCGTCAGGGAGGCAGGGGTGTTGGGCACCCTCCACAGCACTCGTGGCCTCTGAGCCCAGCTATGAGTGCACTGTCTGTGCAGGTTCTCTACGTGATGGAGCTGCTGCAGAACCAGGAGGAGGGCCGTGCCTGCTTCAGCTCCATCTCTGAGTTCCTGCTCACCCATCCTGTGCTGAGCTTCGGTATCCAGGTTGTGAGTCGCTGCCGGCTGCGGCACACTGAGGTGCTGCCTGCCGAGGAGGAGAATGACAGCCTAGGGGCTGGTGAGTTGCTCTCAGGGTATGTAGGGAAGCGTGGAGGTATGGAGGGCCAGGGCTTAGTCGCTCACACTGTCTTTGTAGATGGGACCCATGGAGCTGGTGCCATGGAGTCTGCAGCTGGTGTGCTCATCAAACTCTTTTGTGTACATACTAAGTGAGTATGTTGGGGAGTCTGACCTGTGCCTTGTCTGTACCGCTCCCCGCCCACTAATGCTGGCCTCCATGAGCTCTCTCCTATTCTCAGTCTTCTCTGCCTATAGGGCTTTGCAGGATGTGCAGATCCGTTTCCAGCCACAGTCGAACCCTGATGTGGTGGCCCCGCTCCCCACCCACACCACCCATGAGGACTTTGGTGAGTGACATGTAAGAGAGGCAGGTTAGACTGACCGGTGTCAGAGATCTGACTCAAGTGGCAGCTTTCCCCACAGCATTTGGAGAGTCTCGGCCTGAACTGGGCTCTGAGGGCCTGGGGTCAGCTCCTCAGGGCTCCCAGCCTGACCTCCGACGCATTGTGGAGTTGCCTGCACCTGCTGACTTCCTCAGTCTGAGCAATGAGACCAAGCCCAAGCTGATGACACCTGACGCCTTCATGACACCTAGCACCTCCCTGCAGCAGGTATGGTGGGAGAGGAGTGTGGGGCTGAGGGCAGGGGGTACCCAGGAATGCTCCACCGGCAGGCCACAGCCCTGATCCCCTGTGTCTTCCCAGATCGCTGCTTCCCCCAGCAGCAGCAGTAGCAGCTCCAGCTCCAGCTCCAGCTCCTCCTCTCTCACAGCCGTGTCTGCCATGAGCAGTACCTCAGCTGTGGACCCCTCCTTGCCCAGGTGAAGTGAGGGTCAGAGTTGGGGGATGGCAGGGGCTGGTGCCAGGTGATGCTGGGCTCTGGCTGTTATACCTCAGCCTTCCTGTCACCAGGCCACCTGAGGAGCTGACCTTGAGCCCCAAGCTGCAGCTGGATGGTAGTCTGACAATGAGCAGCAGTAGCAGCCTACAAGCAAGCCCACGCAGCCTCTTGCCCAGCCTACTTCCAGGTCCAGCTGACAAACTGACTCCCAAAGTACCTGGGCAGGTGTGTGTGGGGGTGTGTATGAAGTGCAGGGTGGCAGGTATGTGTAGTGGGAAGCTTGGTGGCAGTTTCCTCTCAGAGCACGTGAAGTCTTTCCCTGAGGTGGTCCCAGCCTCCCCTGTTCCCTGGAGGGCAGCTTCTCAGCCTGGGTCCATCCCCACCTCCTATCTTCCTGGTTTCTGGGATTTTTGACCTGGATTCCCCTTCTCCACTGACCCATCTCTACAGACATCAGGCCTCATCTCTATCTCTTCCATCCCCACATCCCACGACCTAAGTCCCATCTTTGCTCCACCCCAGGTGCCTACTGCTGCCTCTGCACTATCACTGGAGCTGCAGGAAGTGGAGCCCCTGGGGCTACCCCAGGCTTCTCCTAGCCGCACCCGTTCCCCTGATGTTATATCCTCAGCTTCCACTGCCCTTTCCCAGGACATCCCTGAGATTGCATCTGAGGCCCTGTCCCGTGGTTTTGTCTCCTCTGCCCCTGAGGGCCTTGAACCAGACAGTATGGCCTCAGCTGCCTCAGCACTACACCTGCTGTCCCCACGGCCCCGGCCAGGGCCCGAACTTGGCTCCCAGCTTGGCCTGGATGGAGGCCCTGGAGATGGGGATCGGCATAGTACCCCTTCCCTTTTGGAGGCAGCACTGACCCAGGAGGCCACAGCCCCTGACAATCAGGTCTGGCCTACGGCACCAGACATTACTCGTGAGACCTGCAGCAGCCTGGCGGAGAGGTGAGGAACCTGGGTGGGGAAAGTGTGCTGGTGGTGGGGGTTTCAGATAGAGTCACTGCTGTTGAGTTGGCCTGTCCTTCAGTCCCAGGAACGGTCTCCAGGAGAAGCACAAGAGCCTGGCCTTCCACCGACCACCTTATCATCTGCTGCAGCAACATGACAGCCAGGATGCCAGTGCTGAGCAAAGGTAGGTGCCACCCTCCACTGTTCTCGTGAGGGAGGGCCAGCCAATGGGTAGGTGTTGATCTTTGTCCCTTCCCTTCCTACAGTGACCATGATGATGAGGTGGCTAGCCTTGCCTCTGCTGCAGGGGGCTTTGGCACCAAAGTTCCCACTCCCCGGCTACCGGCCAAGGACTGGAAGACCAAGGGTTCTCCTCGAGCCTCACCCAAGCTTAAGAGAAAGAGCAAGAAAGATGACGGGTAGGGGGTAGGGTCCTGTGGCCAGGGAGAGGGGCGGTCCCCAGGCTACCCCACCTGACATGGCCTGAAGTGCTGCTTGTCTATGGCAGGGATTCGGCCGTGGGGTCCCGGCTCATGGAGCACCAGGTAAGTGAAGTAACCGCCTTTCTAATTCTGGGGCTCCTCCCTGTGAGGATGGGGAAGAGTGCGGAGTCATTCCCTGGTCTGGCGTGTTGGCGATGCCTGAGGTAGATGTCACCTGACTGTTGGTGCTCTTGGCAGGGGCCAGAACCTCCTGAGGACTGGCCGGCACTGATTTGGCAACAGCAGCGCGAGCTGGCGGAGCTGCGTCACAGCCAGGAGGAGTTGCTGCAGCGTCTTTGCACCCAGCTCGAAGGCCTGCAGAGCACCGTCACGGGCCACGTAGAACGCGCTCTAGAGTCACGGCACGAGCAGGAACGTATCCTTAGAGGTCATGGCCTGGTGTGGCATAGGGGCAGGAACAGCAGCAGCGTTCGAAGCCCAGGAAGGGCTGTGGGACCTGCCCCAGGCCTTTTCCTTAGCTTCAGTGTAGAGCGGCGGCTGGAGCGGGCACTAGCTGAGGGGCAGCAGCGGGGTGGGCAGCTGCAGGAGCAGCTGACACAACAGCTGTCCCAGGCGCTGTCTTCGGCCATAGCTGGGCGGCTAGAGCGCAGCATACGGGATGAGATCAAGAAGACGGTGCCTCCATGTGAGTTTTGTATGGAGACTTCCGGGTGGGCCAGGTGGGAGTGGGGCTTCCTGTCTATCAGGCTGCCTCTCGTGACTCCACCTGTTCCTCCTTGTCCTGCCCCAGGTGTCTCCAGGAGTCTGGAGCCAGTGGCAGGCCAGCTGAGCAACTCAGTGGCCACCAAGCTCACAGCCGTGGAGGGTAGCATGAAAGAGAATATCTCCAAGCTGCTCAAGTCCAAGGTTCTGTAGGGCCCAAGATGAGGGAGGTTAGTGGTTGGTGGGCCTGGTCATGCCAGCTTGGGCTTAGCCTTTCAACTCAGCCCTCCCTCTACCCCCAGAACTTGACAGATGCCATTGCCCGAGCAGCTGCAGACACATTACAGGGGCCAATGCAGGCTGCCTACCGTGAAGCCTTCCAGAGTGTGGTGCTGCCAGCCTTTGAGAAGAGCTGCCAGGCCATGTTTCAGCAGATCAATGATAGCTTCCGACTGGGCACGCAAGAATGTGAGTGGAGTCATATGCCTCAAGGTGCAAGAGGCTGTCCCCCTGTCCCCTACCATCCCTCTCATAGCCCCTGTGGTCACTCCTCAGACTTGCAGCAGCTAGAGAGTCACATGAAGAGCCGGAAGGCACGAGAACAGGAGGCACGGGAGCCTGTGTTGGCCCAGCTGCGGGGCCTGGTCAGCACACTGCAGGGTGCCACTGAGCAGATGGCAGCCACTGTGTCCAGCAGTGTTCGAGCTGAGGTGCAGCACCAGCTGCACGTGGCTGTGGGCAGGTGTGTGGGCAGGGTATTGGGCAAGGTGCTGGGTTTGGAAAGCACCAGACCAGACTTCTTGTCTGCTTCATTTCCCTCACTTCCCTTTGCAGCCTGCAGGAGTCAATTTTAGCGCAGGTACAGCGCATTGTTAAGGGTGAGGTGAGTGTAGCACTGAAGGAGCAACAGGCCGCCGTCACGTCTAGCATCATGCAGGCCATGCGTTCAGCCGCTGGCACACCTGTCCCCGCTGCCCACCTCGACTGCCAGGCCCAGCAAGCCCATATCCTGCAGCTGCTGCAGCAGGGCCACCTCAATCAGGCCTTCCAGCAGGTACGCCAGCCATTAGGTCCAGGTAAGGGGCAGGTGTCCCCTGACAGGACCCACACACCATACTCTACCTTACTCCAGCCCCAGTAGACTGTTTTGATTCTCTTTGGCTTCAAGCCATTTTCCCCTGCTTTCCCCTCTGCCTGGACCCTAGACCCATTTCTTTCTATCTCCACATACCTTGCTTCATGACCACCCTTCTCCTAGAGTAACAACGCAGCTCTGTGTTACTGCCTCTAGGCCCCTGAGCATCCCCCTCTGGAGCTACCAGTACCCTACTCTGGTCATCCTCATCCCAGCCACACAGCCAGACAAGCAGGTATTCCTTTCTGACATTAGCTCTAAATACTGTTCTCTCTCTAGGCCCTGACTGCTGCTGACCTGAACCTGGTGCTGTATGTGTGTGAAACTGTGGACCCAGGGCAGGTTTTTGGGCAGCCACCCTGCCCACTCTCCCAGCCTGTGCTCCTTTCCCTCATCCAGCAGCTGGCCTCTGACCTTGGTACTCGAACTGACCTCAAGCTCAGGTGAGTGGACTCAGGGATCAGGAGGCAGCCTGGGTGAAGGTGAGGAACAGTTCAAAGCAGACTCCTGCTTGACTCTGCTGCCTGATTTTCTCCACCCATCCCCTTTTTCCCCCTCCCATCTCAGGCTTTAAGCCCCCCTCCCCCTTGTCTGCAGCCCCTTGGGCCTCATTGCCACCAGGGGGCGCTTCCATCTGCTGGAGCCCACCTGTATCCCATCCCTTTCTTCCACCAGTTACTTGGAAGAGGCTGTGATGCACCTGGACCACAGTGACCCCATCACTCGGGACCACATGGGCTCCGTCATGGCCCAGGTGCGCCAGAAGCTCTTCCAGTTCCTGCAGGCTGAGCCACACAACTCACTTGGCAAAGTGGCCCGGCGTCTCAGCCTCATGCTGCACGGCCTCGTAACCCCTAGCCTCCCTTAGCTAAGCCTGCCTTGCCCAGGGGTGGGGAGGCACTGAAGGCCAGCAGACAGGCCTAGGCCAAAGCAGGGTCATGTCTATTCTTTTACCTGCTCAGGCTCCCACCTCTGAGGCGTGTGAGGGGAGAGCACGGCTGTGGTATATAGGTTGTGGTAGCCAGCAGGTTCAGGCTGGGCCCAGGGTGGGCATTGTGCCTTCTTGGGTTCTTCCATGCCTGGAGCATGACCCCTGAGATCGTGACACCACTGGAGTTGAATTTTCCATGTTCCTTTTTACCTCCGATTTGGATCTTTTTGTTTTTGAAAAATATTGAGAAATTCAATTAAATGCTTTTGGAATAAAATGGAGTATGTGTGTGCTTTTGGGGTGACTTTGATAAGGGCCTCTCATCTCTCTCTCCTCTTTTTCCTGTGTGGAGCTCTGTCCAGGCTAACCCAGGTGCCTGAACACCCACCCTCATCTGCACAGCCGCCTTCCCAGATCCCCGATCCACCTCTGAGACAGGGGCCCTGGGTCAGCTCTGCAACTGCCCGGATCCCCAGCTCTTCTCTCTGGGGTCCCTCCCCTCCTCCTCTCTGGGTACTGGGGCGGGGCCACCAGCTGGCTTTGGGCCCCGCCCCCGGCTCCCATCCAATCACAATCCTTTTTTACGGGGGCTGGGCCGAAGGGCTGTGCTTCCAAGCTGCTAGCTCCAGCACTAGGCTCCCAGCAGGGGATGATGCGGGGATGATGCGCAGATACTGCTCCTGTCACCACCGCCAGCCACTGCCCCGACCTTCTGCCGTGCTGGGGCTGTTGCTGCTGTTGCTACCACTCGGTGAGTGTGGGAGTGCTGGACCCAGCTTAACGGCTGGGCAGCACACTCCCAGTCTAGGTATAGGGCATGTGAGAGCTGAGGTACAGCCTTCCTGAGCCCTGGGAACCAGGCTGGAGAGGAGGTGCGAGGGCTCTGGGGAGGGGATAATGAGTGCCAGTGGTTTCAGGATGCAAAATGGGCATGAGCTGACACCTAGTCACCAGGGAAGGACCCTAAAATTCCACATTGCCCATTCTGGCAAAGGGAGACTTAGGCTCTCATGGGACACCCAGACTGCCGTGGAACCCCTGAGGCCCTCTCTTTGAGTCTGATCTGGATCCTGACCCTGCCTGTCCTGCTCTACTGACTTGAGAATACCTGTCTTTGGGAATGGTGTGGGATGGCCTAGCGAAGCTTGTCCAGCCTCCAGGATAGCTCAGGGAGCCTGTAGCCCTGGATCCTGCCCCTCTTCTCTGTGTCCTGACTCCTTCACTTGGACCATCCTCACCTGACCTGTGGTCCTAGAAACTTAAGGAAAGAGCCAACCCCTTGGGATGGGACACTCCCCCCTCCACATATCCTGTCCAGGTTGCGTCTAGAGGGGAGTCAATGCAGGTGGATCCCTAGATGTGCCCCTTAGTTCCCTTGGGTACTTCTGTTTCACGCTGAGTCACGTCCCCAGAGCACACTCAGGTAAACAAGGCTCTGGGGGCTTGACTGTGAAGTGGAGGCGGGGTGGATCATCCTATCAACTATTCTCCACCCCCACCCCTGGTCCTTGGATCTCCCCTGGCAGCAGCTGCACCAGGCACAGGGGGCTGTGACACCATATACCAGGGCTTCGCCGAGTGTCTCATCCGCTTGGGGGACGGCATGGGTCTTGGAGGCGAGCTGGAGACTGTCTGCAGGTAAGGGCAGGTGTGAAGACAGCCGCCTAACTGCTGATCCCTCCCACCACCCTTGAGGCCTGAACCTTTTCCTTCCTATTACAAAAGCCTTTTTGCCCCACCTAATTACCCTAACCCTGAGCCTTTAACAGGTCTTGGAATGACTTCCACATCTGTGCCTCCCGAGTCCTGTTGCATTGCCCAGAAGAGGCTGCCGCTGTGTGGGAGTCACTACAGCAAGAAGCTCGCCGGGCTCCACACCCAGATAACTTGCATGCTCTGTGCAGCACCCCTGTGAGTGTTAGGGAGCATGGCACAGGCCCTGAGACCAACCAGGAGACGCTGCAGGCAAGAGCAGCTGCACCCACCCCAGCCCCGACACCCCCACTGCTGGCGGCTGCTCTGGCGTTCGCCTGCCTCCTAGGCCCTCTGGCCTAGCCAGTCTGGTGAAATAGCAGCACCTGCCTCCTACCCTGCTCTGGTGGCTGCTGTCGGAACTCTGCAGAGTGCCCTTGGCTTTCATTAAAGGTATTTATATTTGTACTAAGCTCCTTCCTTTCTTCTGGCCTGAGCGCTGCTTGGCTGGGGCAGAACCTCCAGAAGCTAATCCCCACGACTGGAAGGGTGGGGCTGTGGCCACCACAGGGGACTCCATCTCTCTACTTACAGACACTCATTTCCCAGCGCTGGCTGTGCAGAGTTTTCCATTGTGTGTAGGTTCCAGGAGCTCTGGTGGATGCACAGCCTTCCTCTGCTCCCCTCCCCCGGGGCTGGCATTTCTACCCCTGCCTGCCCCTCCTATTCTGACCCCTGTGGGCCCTGTGAGGGGGAGAAGTGTACCGCCCCCTCACCCCTCAAGCCAGTTCACCCCCATCCCCATGTTCGTTCCAGCCTCCACGTTCCTGCCAGCTCTGCTAACTACCACCTTAGCCTGCAAAACAGATTAAGCGCTCTGTCCTCTCCCTTTCTGGGGTCCTGGTCTACCTGAGGGGAGCCTCTTCCAGAAGGTGGAGAATCCCTGTTGGGGTCTATATTCAAGTCCCTGAGGTCACCTGCAGCTGCAATCCCAGAAGACTTGCTGGAAGCATGGAATGAGTGTGTGGTGTGTAAGGAGACCCTGTTCATCCTGATGGAGAAAAGCAAGAATCTGTTTGGCAGAACCCTGAGGGAAGGAGTCCCAGAGAGGGTGAGACCCTCTCTCAATCGGTCTTCTGCCTCCGCCTCTAGGACCTTACTCCAAGCCACCACCCCATGACTTGGGTGGTGCTCTGCTCTCACTCCCTCTGCTTTACTCTATGGGGCAGCATAAGCCAGCTCTGCCCATAGTTGATTCAGTCCCCTCCTGAGACTCCCCTCTGTCTGAGCTTGGAGCAGGATGGACATACAAGTCCTTGGCATCAGGAGAGGCTTTGGGGAAGGCATGTGACAGGGGTGATAGAGGAGGTCGGTCTGTGAGACTTGCAGGTAGTGGAAGAGAGATGGGGCTGAGTTGGAGAGGGCTTTACAAGAGAAGCTCAAGGAAATCAGTGGAGGAATCTAGAGTTGGCAGACTAGATTTACACTAAAGCCCATGCTGGGGGGCAGGTGCCTTAAGGGACCTTTGTTTGGTAGGTGACAGGTGCCTCCAGAGACCTTCATCCTCGTATATAGAAGCGCTACTTCATCCATTCTTCCCAAGCCCCTTCCCATTCCAGTTAGCTCAGATACTCAATCAGCTCTCTCTGCCTTACCTTTGCTCCTCTGCCTCATTCACCTGTACCTTTATCTTCACTTCTATCTCCCAACCAGTTAGTTGCCCATCTTCTCACATCACCTGAAGGAGAAAGTTCAGAAGAAAATCCCTCTCACATCTGCTCCACTTTGACCACCAGAATTTTCCAGAAGGAAAGGCCAGGCTTTTATCTCCTTGGTTCTTTGTATATTTATTATCTGTACTCAGAATGCCCTTCCCCATATCCTCCTGGTGAACTCCTGTTCTTGTTCAGTATCACCTTCCTAATCCTGACTTTGAACCTGAATCAGAAGCTTCCTACAGGTCCATACAGCTCCCCAGTTGTCTTCTGTCTCAGTACTGATTTTTTTTTTTAATTTACGATAGTCATACAGAGAGAGAGAGAGGCAGAGACACAGGCAGAGGGAGAAGCAGGCTCCATGCACCGGGAGCCTGACGTGGGATTCGATCCCAGGTCTCCAGGATCGCGCCCTGGGCCAAAGGCAGGCGCCAAACCGCTGCGCCACCCAGGGATCCCCTCAGTACTGATAACACAGGCTTGTTACTGTCTGGGTCCGGGTCAGAATTCTCCACTGTGGACTCCGCAAGGCCCCTCTGTATGTCTCTAGCACCCAACTTAGGGGCTGGGTATAAAGAGTACCCTTGCAGAAGCGTGTGGAATCAAAGACAATCTCTTAAGCCCAGCATATTAAGTGTTAGAATTAGTAAGAGATCAGACTGGAGCATCAGTCCTCAGCATGGAGGATGTGTAATTTGGGGTAGCCCCCTTACCTGGCCTGGGCATACTTTGGGAAGGATGATGCTGGGAATCCAGACCCTGAAAGTCTTCTCAGAGCCACTCTTGGTGGGTGGCCAGGAGCAGCCTGCTTCCAGGAGCAGAGGCCCAACTGTTTTGACCAGCCATCAGGGGGATTACCATATTCCTGCTGTGACCTACTTTACCCTGGTTTTTGCACCCTAAGTCCCTGCTCTTCCCTGGAATCAAGTGACTTGTAATGTGTGCATGGGGGTGGGGACAGATCTGCTTTCTGGCCAGGGGCTTAAGAGCTTTGTATGTTTTATCCCAGAGCTGGAGGAGAGGGGTGGGCTGATTGCCAGACTGGGCCCTGGACACATCTGCCCAGGCCAGAGCGTAATGGTGATGGTGTGTCTCACATTTATATCTCTGTAGACATGGAATACCTTATTGCTTAGGGGAGACCCTGGGGGCCATATGTCCTGAACTCAGTCCCTCTGTATCAACCTACCTCTTCATCTCAGGGCCTTGTGTTTTTTACCAGAACCCAGACCAGCAGCTGCCAGTAGCTGGACTTAATAGATACGTGTTGGATTAATTTGCTGAGTGTCTGTAAAATCGGGGTGTTGTGTGGATTTCTAAGCCCCACCAACCCTAGAATTCCATTCTGCTTTTATCCTTCACAACAACTCTGTGGGGTCAGGATTAGACTCCCATAAAACATAAGAAAAATGAGGCTTAAGGAGGGGAGATGTCTTGCCTAAGGTTACACAGCTGTGAAAGTGTCAGAACTTGGGATATGATCCCAGGTTTGTTTGACCCCAAAGTTCATGCCCTTAATCATCACACTAGACTTTTGGAAGTGATTTTTTTTTTTTTGGAGGTGGGGGAGGAGTGATTCTTAAAGTTTTTTTTTTTAATAAAAATATTTTATGAAACTGCTACATAAGACAGACCATGATGTTTTATTGGTATTTATTTTTAGGTTTATTTATTTTTATTTTTATTTATGATAGTCACACACAGAGAGAGAGAGAGAGAGAGAGAGAGGCAGAGACACAGGCAGAGGGTGAAGCAGGCTCCATGCACCAGGAGCCCGAAGTGGAATTTGATACTGGGTCTCCAGGATTGCACCCTGGGCCAAAGGCAGGCGCCAAACCGCTGCGCCACCCAGGGATCCCTTATTTTTAGGTTTAAAGCATAACATTAGCTTATACAGTCAATTAAAGACCATTTGATGTATGTAGTAAATAATATTTTAACAAATGAACAGACTGAAATGAGGTAGATGGAAGGAGGTTAACAATGCCCTTATTACCTCCAGCATCTACTTTTCTTCCCTGCAATGTGGATTTATTGTAAAGTAGTGAGATAATTTTTTTAAGATTATTTATTTATTCATGAGAGAGAGGCAGAGTCAGGCAGAGAGAGGAGCAGACTCCATGCAGGGAGCCGGATGTGGGACTGGATCCCTAGACTCCAGGATCACACCCTGGGCGGAAGGGAGATGCTCAACAGCAGAGCCACCCAGGTGTCCGGAGATAATTCTGATCTTATATAGAGAATCTTAACGGCAACAACTTTTTTTTTTAATCTACTTGATTTGCAGTCTCAAGTTGTTATTGAAACTTAAATTCAATAACAACAATAACAAAAATTAGGGGCACCTGGGTGGCTCAGTGAGCATCTGCCTTTGGCTCAGTTCGTGATCCCGGGGTCCTGGGATCGAGTCCTGCATCGAGCTTTCCACGAGAAGCCTGCTTCTCCTCTGCCTGTGCCTCTGCCTCTCTGTCTCTCATGAGTGAATAAATAAAATCTTTAAAAAAAAAAAAATCTTAAAAAAAAAAAAACCGTTACTCCGAAGTTAGCCCAAGACTAACTTCACTTTCACCGATCCTCAGGTTAACCATTTGCAACTCCACTGTGAGGAAGGCCAAATTTAACATCTGAGTCCCTGAATTATTTTAATTGCAGTTTCAAAAACTGATTTGTTAATAAAATTTAAATCGATCCTTTGCAGAGTTCCAGGGGCACTTCCAGAAACCTCTGTCGAAACACACTATGTCCCCAACTTCGCACTACGGGGCGTCCTGCCGCCCTACCCAGAAATCTGACACCTTCTCCCGACCTCCCGCGCTCCCACCCTGGGCCCAAGGCTCAGCTACTTCGAGGGTGACTTCGACTCACCCCGGAGACAGAGAAAGTCTCCGCCCCGAAGGCGTCGGTGGGCAGGCCACGCTCCGAGGGCGCTGAACGCGTGGCCGGGCCCTCGGGAGTCCGCCCCCCTCACCGCCCCACGGGCGGCCTGGGTTTGTTTTGGCGTAAAGCGCGCGCTGTGATGACGTCAGGACGCTGACGCCCGAGGATGGCGGCGGCGGTGGCGGTGGCGGCGGCGACCCTGTCCGCAGTCTGGCGAGGGTCAGCGCAGCCGCCGAGACGCCGACGACCCCGCCGCCCGCGCGAGGTGAGGCGGCCCGGCCCAGGGCGACGGCCCGACGGGCGGGAGGGGCTGGCGACCTGCGGCCATGGTCGCTTCCTGGTGCCCTGGGCCTGTCCTCGCCCGGCCGGAGCCCCGTGCGCCGGGGCCTCCGGGACTGGGGCGCAGGCCAGGCGAGGGCTGCTCGGGATGCCTGGTGTTGGAGGCTGGACGGGCCTCAACCGTGCTGCTGTGCCGGGGAGCCCGGCCCTGGGGCCGCGTGGGCCTGGTCGACGTGCTCAGCTTCCCTGCCTGCTGTTCAGCCAGCCGGCGTCGGGCAGGGTGAACTAAGCAGGTTGTCCTCCCTGCTTTCTCGTGCCCGCCACCTCCTGCACGCCCCTCCTTTGCGACTGAACGCTAGCAGCTGTCGGGCAGCCGGTCGCTTCCGTGTTCAGGCGGGGAAAAGCAGGCTTGAGCCTGGCCGGGTTGCCTGCTCCGCAAGCCAATAGCCTTCAGCTTACGAGGGGAAGCCCAGCTCCCCACGCTCATTCCCCCTCCACGAAGCTGCTGAAGCGATCGGTCCCACCTGAAAATTTGAGTAAGTGCTTCACTGCCTGAAACGGGATCCCTGGTGCCTACAGGGTGAAGTCCAAGCTTCGCAGCAAGGCGCTCAGGGCTCTTCGTAATCTGGTAGAGGCCTAACCGGAAGTTAACACCTGGGCACTTCTCCCTTCTGTTTACAGTTGGTGTTTGGGACACGTGAGCCCGCTGTGTTCGGTTTTTTAATACCCTTGTACTTTAGATTCGCATTTTGTAATATTCTTTTACCCCCACCCCTAACCACCAGAATGGAAAATTTACATCTGTCCTTTAAAATCCACCTTAGATTTCATTTCCTTTTCCGAGGGAGAAGGCTCCCTTGCCTCACAGGTAACCGTTGGCTCCTAGGTATTTTATTCATGTGACTACAGTTGAGTATATCATGTGGTATCACGCGATGGTAGGTCTGGGTCTCCTGTCTGAGTGTCTGGCTCTATGCCTGGCATAAAGTAGTTGCTGAATGGACTGGGATAGGTTACTGGTTTAAAACTAGAAATAGATTCACTGTATTATTGAGGCCTTATCAGAGGCCAGGATCTGACATAAGGACAGCAAATGTATATCTCCCGTTTGCACATGCACACATATTGCTGTGGTAGGTGGTGCAGCCTTGTCAACTTCCATGGTCTAAGATCCCTTGGGGTAGTTTTTCAAGATACAGATTCAAGAGTCTCTCTCTGATATTTGGATTCAGAAGATCTGGAGCCTGGTAGAAATCTGTATTTTGAAAAAACAAAACAAAACACATCTCAGAGGACTTTGCTCCCTGGTTGAACATCTTTGTCATTGCACTAGGAATCTGTTGTGTCTTCTTTGTCCTGTAGGAAGGGCTAGCTGTGACATGTGGACTCCTGTTATAGCCTTGTTGCCCATACTGAGGGAGGCAGTATGATTTGCTGGTTAGTAGTATGGACTTTGGAGTCAGAAAGACTTGGATTCAGTTTTTGGTTTTTGTGAGATCTTGAGGTCTTTTGAGTCCTATCTTGCTCGTTCCAAAATAGCAGTAATCGTGCCTACTGTGTGTGGTTGCACGGAGGAATGAGAGTTCATACGAGATGCTTAATATAGTTGGAACTCAGGAAATGGAAGCCATTGTTATTACTAATGCTGCTTTCCCCAGAGTGTGTCCCTTGTCAAAAGGAGAACTCAGGTAGCTTGTTTGCTCTTCAGACTGAGCCTCATGTAGGAAGGTGCCTTATAGGATTTCCTTGAGGTGATTTCTGCTTATCAGGGAAAGCTCTGACAAAACTGTGCTTCTACTCAGGGCAGTTGCAGTTGGTCATTTCCCTAGTAGAGGCTTGGAATGCTGATTTACCAGAGGGTAGGTTTGTTGCATAAGCACTTTGTCCCGGTCTAATTGCAGTGGCTGTGCTTGTTGACTTGCATAAATGAGCTAGAGAAAGTGCAGCTTTCAGGAAACCTGTTTGCTTCTGACACTGAGCTAGAGTTGCACCTGACCTGGAATGGAACACCCCTGCAGATCCTACTGTCTGTGGAATTTGAAATAGATACTGGGGATCTCTGTTGGTCACAGTTCACAGTTAAACGAGTGAGACTTTGGTTTGGCTTTCTGTCTTACTTTATAAGTGTTAGCATGTTGTATGGACCATTCTGTCCTCTTCAGAGCTTCCTGACTGTGTGATATGAATGGGCTATAAGTGTGCCAAAGAATTGAATCGATAGCCAAGAACAGCCATCTCTCTCAACCCTAGGATACACAGAGAAAATTTTGAGAAGTACAGCCCTAGAGGAACGGAAGCAATTCTGCTTGTTGAGAGCTAGAGACTTTTTTATTTGAACTCCTTTTCCTTCCAAGAATCTTACTCAGTGACTATTATGTGGATTTGTGTTGGCTAGGTCATCACTGAGCTAATTCTTGGGACAGCTTTCTGTTGCTGTGGTATCTGATATGATGCTAAAGTAA